AGCTCAAAGATCAAAATCTATAATTTCGAAAATATAATTTTTTTTTTCATCGAATTCCAAAATTTAAACATATGATGTTGAATAACCGGTAACTTAGAGAAACTTTTTTTAAGATCTTAAAAACCCTTTAAAATTACCATTGGTAAAAGTTATTTGCATGAATATCAAGGTAAGTTATAACTAAAATAAAGTCGGCTTTTCTTTCTTGTGACGCAGAAAGTAACTTGTCATTTCCTTCATAACTAGTATTTCCCTCCTCTTCGAGCGCTTATAAAAGCCTGCCTATGTCTTGGTATTGTGGTAATTAAATTTTGAACATGAATTTGGCCCAATCCTTCTCATACTGTCTGAATACTCGCAGGAAACTCGGGAAAATTGTTTGGGCGGAGTAGCTGAACTTAAATTCGTTCCAGTGTGTCCCATACATGTTCGATTGTATTGAGGTCGGGGCTGGAAGTTGGCCAAGTAATACGGACAATCTTGACGTCTTTTAAGTATTTATTGTCGATTCTAGTACCGGTGGCGGAGCACGTTATTACCCATAAAAATAACATTAGGTCTTTGAATGGCGCAAAAGGTACTACATGCATCTTTATTATCTAAAATGGTTGTTATATACCTTCCTCCTATCCTAGAGCCTCCATCCACAAGAACTAAGTCCGTGCGGACATCGGAGCTTATACCAGCCCAAACCATCCCTTAACTAACCCTCCTTGATGTTATTCTGTCGGCAAAATTGAATTCGGCGAATCGTTCTTTTTGTCTCCTCCAGATTCTTTTGCGACCGTCTCATGACCTCAAGTAAAAACTGAACCTATTCGAGAACAAAACATTACTCCAATCTGTGTAATTCCAATTTTCGTGTTTCGTTACAAAAGCAAGTCGAGCTCTGCGGTGTTCCACGGATAGCTGTGGATATAGGGTTGATCTTTGGATAATAAATTCGCTTCATAGAACTGTTCACCTACTTACATCCACATTTAGGACTTCGTTCAGTCGATTTTTCAGTCCAATTAAAGTTAGATGTCTATTTCTTACACATAAAGAAACCAAAAATTGATCATTGCGTAAGGATGTTGCTTTCCCACAACCTTATTATGACCGTTGTAGTTGCCAGTTGCCATTTTGGTTGAACCACTGAATAGCTCTTTAAACAGCACAATGACTTACATATAGCACCTGGGCTGCATAATATTATCGTCGATCATCTTGCCATGGATCTCGCAGCATTCGTTGGTGTTAATGGCATTTTAATTCAATTAAAAATTCTGAACTCAAGAAATTTTAATACCAAATTTTTTTGATTGTTAAAATCAGTAGTGGAAGTTGGTCTAATATCGACCACTTAATATAAATAATTCATAAAATACATACTTAACAACAAACGACACATATGTTGATGTATATACATTGACTGATATTCAAAGAAGGGAAGTAAGCATAAAACTGATCCTCTAAATTAAGAAAAAAATACAAAAAGTTGTTGGGTCGATATTACCTGACCACTAATGGGAAATATCGATCACGAGTGGGGAAATACTATCGACCGAAATTTAAAAAAAATAATGAATGAATTAAAAAAAAAATTAATGAACAGCATGTGGTACAATCAGCATGACACCATATGCCACATGATCTGTATTCCCACCATTCTTCATTATCTAATTTTGAAACCATTTATACCTTTTTCAATCGTCGTTATGCGGTTGTATGCTTTAGTAAATAATTCTGCAATGTCTGTAACAGCTATTGTTTTCAAGCCCAAAGAAAAAAAAGGCACAACCGATGGCTAAACCCTATGAGATGAGTAAGGGGGAAGAGAAATCATGATGATCCATTTTAAGGACAGTAATTATAGGATTGAAAAGTAGAATGGGAGGTGTGGTTTTCTAAAATGAGCGTGACAGGATCATCAGCAGGAGAGACTTTGTCGAATTTACAAAAATGCTTTAACCGCTCGAAAAATAATTCCTCGGTTATTCAGCCGGACTTTGAACAATGTTATATGTAGCCAAGCGGACCATTTTTACTCAATCCCTCCCTTATCCTTAACATTTTAAAAATAAACATTGGTGGAACATACCGTCCCGCAGCACTCATACAGCAAACTACATTAGTACTTTGAACTTGCTCGCTGCTTCTAATGGACCTTGGAACTTGCTTTTTTTTCCTTTGTTGCAAGAACACGAGATTGTTTTGTGCACAGTTGTTTACTCAGTCTTGTCCACATTGTATTAATGTTGTCACATTATCATAAAACATATTTATATCTGCTTTATTAAAAGCTAGCACTTTATTCTTACAAGACGCTTAAGGACAATTGATGTCTCGTTAGGAAACCATATGTATAGCCATTCTTTCCCACATGTTTCTTTATTGGCACTGAAGTTTGTAACGAGTCCGTCACTTTAATAATCCTTTCATCATTCTTAAATAAAATCTTTAAATCAATATTTATTAAATATCTCTTAGTAACTTTTAATTTCTAAGTGGGTATTAAGCAGCTACTCCAAGGGGGAGTTTTGGAAAACTATATGCATGCTTCTCCGACTCGGGTCACTCTTGTTATGACCGGGGAGAAGTAAGGTCGACTTAAATCAGTAGGCGGTTCAGGAACGTGCTGGAATTTGATTTAAGAATATTAAATTTTGTTTTTTTTTTTGGAAGAAGAGAAGTTGGAGGAAAAGTTTTGGTTTGTTTTTGTGTATACAAACCATCAGCCATTTTGATTTCTGATTTCTTGATATATGTATATCTGTTATTTTCACATCTTTTCATTAAGAAATATTCTAAATTTAAATCTATTAATAATATAAAATCATATGGCAATGTTGTATTTTACTTCCCAGCCTTAAAACATAATTATCTATCATTTGTTTAGTTTCTAAAAATATTCTGTCTCATACCGTTCTTTTATATCAGAGCATGCTTTTCGTTAAAATTATCTATTTAATCAATCAAAATATGTTTATTCGAGACGAAAACCTCGAATTCCTTGGGAAAACTATTCTCATGAGAATTTTTACCTAATCACTTTTATAAAATACCCCAGAATAATGTTTATGATAGCTATTCGGACTTTTGAGACGGCTGCCCTGAAAAGTTCATTTGGTGTACATCCTTACCACTCTCTCAGGTTGCGCAGCCATGATATTCTACGTCTCCCTATGCTTCCCTTTCCTTGAATCTTTCCCTGCATAATCAGTTGGATCAGGTGCATTTCTCTCCCGTGTAATATTTTTTAAATTTTTTTTATTTTAATTGTATTTAAAATTTCTACTTCTTTATTCATCCTTCTCAGAAACTCTTTGTTTATGACGGGTTCTGTGCACGATATTTTCAGAATTCTTCTATACACTTACAGCTCGAATGATTCCAATTTTTTCATTGAGGTCGCATTCTGTAAGATTCCATTCCATAAAATAAAGTCAAAAAAACATAGCACCTCGCCAACCTAACTCTTAGTTCCAATTTTAAATCCCTTGTACATAGCACTTTTTACATTTGTTGAAATTTGCTCTAGCCTTTTCTATTCTGATTTTGATATCCTGAATTGTGGAGTTACTCATTGTTCCCAGATATGCATATTTGTCCACTTGTTCGACGTTGGTTACGGATATTAGAAGATTCTCGCTATTTCTTTGAGTTTTCGATATTTTTATAAATTTCGTCTTCTTGACATTCATTGTTAGACCATACTCTGCTATTCTGGTCACGTCTCTGAAGATCTTCAAAATATTTTCGGCTAAGATCACAGTGTCGTTAACAGCGCACATGTTAATGGGAACTCCATTTACCTTTATTCCAGTTGTTTCACCCTCAAGAGCGTTTTTCAGGATCTCTTCGGAGTAGGCATTAAAAAGAATTGGCGACAGCGACAATACGCATCCCTGTCTTACTCCACATCTAATATCAATTTCTTCTGACAGCTGTTCGTTAACACATACTTTTGCTCGCTGTTTATAGTATAAATTTGATATGATCCTGAAGTCGTTGTAGTCAATCTTCTTTGATTTCAGGACATTCATTAATTGTTTATATCGTACTTTATTATATATTCTATTATATATGTATCAGTATATAAAGTGAAAAAAGGGCTGCACGCATTCCCAGGCCTTTGCGAAAACCAAATTGTGTATCATTAACGTCTGTCCAGTTTGTGATACCTATATTCGGTTGGTTTTCAAACAACTAAAAACAATGTTTTTAAATTAAATAAGCACAAACTAAAGTATCAGAAACTGCTAGAACAAGGTTTGGTGAATTAAAAAATAATTGTGAGTTTTTGAGCTTTCAATCATCATTTTTCGTTTTTCTTTCAGTTTTAAATTGTTTATAAGTTGAAAACGATCAACTTTGGAGAAAAATTACAATTAACCTTTTATATTCAGATTGATCCAAGAAATGATAGAATATTAAAAACGATTTTTCACAAAACAAAAATTAAAATATTAAAGCTATTTCTTGGCCTGTTCTACGATCAGCTTCCATTCCTTGGCCTTGGATTTCCAATTTCGTACTCTTAACGCTTATAAGTCATCTTCCACCTGGTCAAGCCTCTTCTCCTCACTCCACCCGGTTTTTGGTTAAAAATGTGTTTCGAAGGCTCCATCCCGTATTGTCTGTAAGTGGCAAGCAACCTGTTCATTTTGATCGACTTAACAATGCTATAAGGTCACTATGAAGGTAAAGCTAAAAATTCAAGCGCCTTATTTGTCTTTGTTTACTCTATTAGGTTATTTATTTTTGTTTATTTTGAATTTCTTGTGTGGGAGTCACTAACCACCCAAAAGAAGGAAGGTTTATTATTACGTTAAATATAGTAACCAAGATTTTTTCCGATATTCGCTATTTTGTTTTTTGTTGATTTTCTTCATTACTCGCCAGATCAACAGCTATGAATTTCATTATGTCCTTGTTAGTTATTCTATTCTACTTCAGGAAATGTAAAGCAAAGAAATGGGTACTAAGTAACTTTTTAATTGGTAAGTTTAAAGAATCAATAACGTAAAATTTGTTTCATAAATTTAATAAAACATGATCAAAATTACAATATCTATATAAATTACATCTAATTAAATAAATATATAAAATCGCCAGATATTAAAAAATAAATTTAAAATAACACAAATTTTAATACAAAGTTCTTTACCTATCACAGACAAGCTATAAAGTATAGACAAGTATATTACAGATAAGTTTAAGATAACATCTGAAGGTAAAATTAGAGGACCACAATATAGTTCAGTTTAGAAGAATATAAGAGTGAGATGATTCTTATATATGCGTAAGCACCCTGTCACTAGTAACCGTGAACGGAACTAGAGACAGGGCCAAGTAGTTGTGACAGTTGTCATTCAGTAGTTCTTAGTTTAGTCGTATTTATGAAATGGCCATGTTTTGTTATCGTATTGGAATAAACGTTAAGTTGTAACCAGTCTGAGTATTATTAATACATAACATATTGGCGACGAGGATGGGATAAAAAGAGGATAAGTTTTTTTTTGTCAAAATAGTAAACAAGTTTGTACAATCGTCTGTGTGCACGTGCACAATCCACAAGTGAAACAAAATGGCGCTAATTGGTTCAATTGAGGCATTTAAGCCCAAGGAAGATGATATTGCTAGTTACTTGGAGAGAATAGAACAGTTATTCGTGTGCAACGAAATCGGGGAAAATAAAAAAGTGCCCTTATTTTTGACGTTAATTGGTGGAGAAGCATATGCGGTGATAAAAGATTTGTTGTCACCTGAAATACCTAGTACAAAAAAATATGCCGAACTGGAGAAAACATTAAAAGATCATTATAGTCCAAAAAGATTAGTTATTGCGGAGAGATATAAATTTTACAATTGTTCGCAAGATAATTCAGAAGATCTAACTTCTTTTATGGAAAAACTAAAGAAATTGTCAAAATATGCGGAGTTTGGTGCATTCCTGACAGAGGCGCTTAGGGACAAGTTTGTCTGTGGTTTGAAATCGGAGGCGATTAGAAGGAAACTTTTATCAGAGGAAGATTTAACATATGGGAAAGCTGTCAAAATTGCACTAAGTATGGAGTTAGCTGAAGGCCAGGCAAAGGCTATAAGTAGTTCAGAAGTCATAAATAAAGTCTCTAGTTATAAAGGTAAACAACAAGTATCCAGAGGCCTCCTCAAGCGTCAATCATAATAAATTTCGGAATAACCAGTCAGAAAGACATCAATTAAAATCACACCAAATGGGAAAAAGTCCATGTCAGAGATGTCTTAGATTTCATAATGACCCAACAAAATGTCCAGCAAAGTCTTGGAGGTGTTTCACATGTAATGTGATGGGTCACACAGCAAAATCACCCCTATGTAGAGGAAGAGTTCATTTTGTGGAAGAAGAAGAAGACACCCTGGAAAGTGAGGAATTTGAAGTTAAGTGGACAACCCAGGTAGAGGAAACAGTTAACCAATTAGTAGGCAGTCCAAGATGTGAGCCTATTATGTTGGAATTAGTTATAGAAAATAAGGTAATGACTTTTGAAGTAGATACAGGGTCTGATAGCACTATAATATCATTTGAAACTTTTAAAAAACTATTCCCCAATGTAGAGTTAGGCAAATCGAATATTAAATTAAAAACTTTGTTTGGTCAAGTACAGGACAATGTTTTACATGCTAATGTAAATGTACAATTTGGTAGTATTGCAACAAAATTAAATTTAAAAATAGTAGAATTTAAATCTCAAGTTTGTTTACTAGGTAGGTCATGGTTAAATGTATTATTACCAGAATGGAAATCCTATTTTAAACCTGATAAAGTATTTAAAGTACATAAAGTAAATATTGAAACTAACATCCTATTGGAGGAGTTATTAAAAGATTATAATGAAGTATTTAATAAAAATCATTGTATAAAAGATTTTGTTGCAAATATTAAAATAATAGAAGGGTCAGTACCGAAGTTTAGTAAACCATATAGAATTCCCTTTGCATTGAAAGATAAGGTGGAAATGGAAATAAATGAGTTGGTCAAAAGTGATATTTTAGAATCAGTGAAAACATCTGAGTGGGCAGTCCTATTGTTATAGTACCAAAAACAAATGGGGAAATACGTATATGTGGAGATTTTAAAAATACCATAAATCCTGTTGTAGAAAATAATTATTATCCTTTACCCACAGTGGATGAAATATTTGCTTCTATTTCAGAAGGTTGTGTATTTTCAGTAATTGATTTAAAGAATGCATATTTTCAGTTAAAAATAAGTGAAGATAGTAAATGTTACTTAACAGTCAACACACCTATTGGTCTGTTTAGATATAAGAGGTTAGCATTTGGAATCAAAACTGCACCTCACATATTTCAGTCCGTAATTGATCAAATACTAAAAGGTATAAAGGGGGTACAATGTTATTTAGATGATTGTCTAGTATCCGCTAAATCAGAGCAAGAAATGTATGATAAGTTGAAGGTAATATTAGATCGGTTTAAAAAATTTAATGTTAGAGTCAATTTAGATAAAAGTAAATTTTTTGTTAAAAATGTAACATTTTTAGACCATTTAATATCAGGAAAAGGGATTGAACCCTGTAATAACAAAATTGAAGCAATATTAAATGCACCAAAACCAATTAATAAACAACAATTACAGTCTTATCTTGGCCTACTACATTATTATTCAAAATTCATTCCACAATTGGCTGAAAAAATGAAACCATTATATGAATTATTAGAGAAGAATAAAGATTGGGTATGGACCAAAGAAGCAAACAAAGCATTTGAAAATAGTAAACGATTTTTGACTAGTTCAAATGTTCTTATGCCTTTTAATCCTAAATTACCCATTATAGTGTCATCTGATGCATCCCATTATGGTCTGGGGGCTGTGTTAGGTCATCAGTTACCTGATGGGACCGAAAGACCAGTTATGTTTGTATCAGCAACATTGTCTAAAACTGAGGTTAATTATAGTCAGTTAGAGAAGGAAGCGTTAAGCATTGTTTTTGCATTAAAAAAGTTTCATAATTATATATATGGAACATATTTTACTTTGTACAATGATCATCAGCCATTGCAGTCTATTTTATCGCCGTCAAAAGCATTGCCTCCCTTAGCTGCAGCAAGGGTACAACGCTGGGCAGTACAATTATCAATGTATGATTATAAATTGCATTATAGAGACGGTAGAAAGCTAGCAAATGCTGATGCACTATCCCGTTTACCTCTAGCAAGTCAAGAATCTGGGGAAACAGTTAAATATTTTTCAATGGTTCAAGAGTTACCTTTGTCATATAAAGACATAGCTAGGGAAACTAATAAAGATAAAGTCTTAAACAAAATTGGGGAGTTTATTAGGCAAGGTTGGCCTAAGGTTGTTTCAGAGGAATTCTTGGGATATTGTCGGGTAAAAGAATGTTTAGATGTTGATCAAAATTGTATCATGTATAATAACAGGGTTGTTATACCTAGGCTATTGCAGGCAAAAGTTTTAAGACTTTTACATGACCAACATCCCGGAATTGTTAAGATGAAAATGTTGGCTAGACAATATGTCTATTGGGATAACATCAATAGGGATATTGAAAAAATTGTAAAAGAATGTGAATGTTGTCAAGTAAATGTTAATTATGTACCCAATGCTCCCTTGACATCATGGTCCTGGTGCTGGAAAAAATGGCAGCGACTTCATATAGATCTGGCTAAGAAAAATGATAAAAATTTTCTTATTTTAATAGATTCGCATAGTAAATGGATTGATGCATGGATACTTAAATCCACTAATGCATCTAATGTTATATCATGTCTGAGAAAATCATTTGCGGTTTTTGGATTGCCTGATGAAATTCATACAGATAATGGTCCGCCATTTAATTCGGAAGAATTTGTAATATTTTGTGTGAATAATGGAATTAAAGTATCAAAATCTCCACCTTTACACCCAACCTCAAATGGTACAGTAGAACGTTGCATCCAAACTTTTAAAAATAATTTTGTAAAACAAATTTACGATGATAAGTCTAATGTTCTGTACAATCAAAAAAAAAACTAGACAATTTTTTATTCTATTATAGAAATATTCCACATAGCACCACACAAACGTCTCCAGCTGAAATCATGTTGCGACAAAAACCTAAAACTAAATTTTCACTTTTAAAACCAAATTTAAATAAGAAAATTGAAGATGAACAAACTATACGGTTGACTAGAAATTGTAGTGATCCTTTGAAATTTAAAGAATTTGAGATTGGGGAAGCGATTTTTGTTAAAAATGTAAGAGGGGAAAAGGATAAATGGTCCAAAGGCATTGTTAAGGTAAGAGTCAGTCCTGTTACTTATATTTTGATGGTAAATGATCATGTTAGTTTTGTACATGTAGATCATATGAGAAAAATTTGTAAGGGGGGAATGACTCTACCTCTGATGTTTGTGCAATTCCTGAAATAGATAGTTTGATAAACAGTGACAAGCTTTCCATGAAGGAACCGGGTGTAATTCGCGAGTTTAGTGCTCCTGACGTTAGTGAGTCGTATGATACGGACAATAGTGCAATTAATACACCAACGTTATCTAGGGAATATGAGGAAATAAAAGATAGTGACGTGAATAAGGATAACATTGCGGAAACACCGCAATTAAATATTGTACGTAGATCAGAGCGAGTAAAGAAAAAACCGGCTAGGTTTTTAGCCTAAGTAAATCTATTGTAAGTTGTAGTTAAAAGAGGGAGACATATTATATATGCGTAAGCACCCTGTCACTAGTAACCGTGAACGGAACTAGAGACAGGGCCAAGTAGTTGTGACAGTTGTCATTCAGTAGTTCTTAGTTTAGTCGTAATTATGAAATGGCCATGTTTTGTTATCGTATTGGAATAAACGTTAAGTTGTAACCAGTCTGAGTATTATTAATACATAACAATGATGATGAATTTAAAAATAAAAGACAGACTACCCCGTTATTTGACTCCCGCTATTTGACTCAAAATAGGTCTCAATGACACCAATCAAAGTCTTACAGGCGAACCTTCAGCATAGTCATACAGCTTACACAGAATGGACTGTTGTTATGAGAGGGTTCTATGTTACCTTGACACATGATACCAGAGCGCTTAGTAAAACAGAGCAAAATAAAAGGTTTATTTGGCGACCGGAGCTTTTATATCACAGGTCTGCCGAAGTCCAGAGGACTTATATAGTCGTCAATCGAAGATGTAAAATAAGCTAATTTATCTGCAGTATGACTTGCGTAGAACAAATGGTTTACAGAAAAGAAAAAATGAAAAAACATCATTACAAAAAAAAAATAAGAAATAAAATTAAGAAACCCTTTAGAAAGTAAACAGAGCAGCTCCTTTATCTGACAAACTGTATAACACATAAATGTTTATCTATGATGAATTTTTAGAACACACACTAGGATGCTCCCTAGCAGTTTCCTTCAAATAAAAATATTGATGGCATACCTTACACTTAAAATTTCGAGTCCTAATATATTTTTTATGTACAGTTTTTATATGTACTCGAATAGCCTTTTCTTTTCGATTGCAAATAACGCAAAAATGATCACTAATAGTTTTATAATCATTCTTCGATATCCAACCCTTTTTAGGCGAACGTGTTACTTCTTTTTTTGATGTGGATTCACTCTTTTTCAAAGACCTCTGTTTGTCTGGCGAGGCTTTTACAAGAGATTTTTGGATCTTTTTTTTCGATTTGAGTGCGAATGGATTTTTTACAATAGTAGATTTATCTAAAAATGTAAAAACAATATTTTTTTTATTAATTTTATAACAAATATGTTGTATTTGATCCGAACTTATGCTGACTTTCGATAACATAAACACATCGATTACTCACAAGAAGAATGATTTATACTCTATATCATAACATCTAATATTGTGTAAGAAATGTGCATAGTATTAATGTTTCCGCATGAACTATCTGCAGAATACTAACGGATAACATTTATTTACTAGATAATATAATGTGACACTAGTGGGAAAAGGTTCTATTCTCAGATAAATACAAATTTCATTTAATATTACCATATAGACGAGACAAGATTTCAAGGAGACCTAATGAAAGTTGTGTACTAGTATGTGGTTATGGCATATAGGGGCTGCCCCCTGTATAAGTTTACTAATAATAGAAAGACATTAGATTTTGTCTGATGCCATGATACCTCAATTTCTGATTCTTTTTTTCTTGTATATGGGTATTTTTAGGTACACGCATTACTGACTAAAAAAGAAAGCTTATTATCTGTACTTAAGAATAGTCTATTGTAAAATATTTTACGGCTAATGGTAAAAAGGATATGGTTCGTCAAATTGTTATACTTGCAACGATTTGTATATACATAAATGTACAAGGAAAGGGTACTCCATCGCAGTTGCCAGAGAAGAAAATGCCGCTGAACCTCTAAAAATCATACGAACGCTGAATTTTGCTGAGAATGTCAATTTTGATACCCCAAAAAGATATAAAGACGTTCACTACTCCTAACCCAGGGCTTCACCTTAAACCGACCCTCGTAGGGGAAGGGGGGCATTGATTAAACAAGAATCGGTACGCCGTAGAAAAAAGTGTTTTAAAGAAGGAATGTAGGTGAAATAACGCTGAAAAAAAAATGTGTATTAGCACTTTTTTCGCAGAATGAACCGTTTTCTCAGAAACAACGCTTGAAGCGACCGGCAATTTAAAAATGTGTTACGAGTATGAAATTTTGTAAATAAAAATTTGTATGACGTCGACGGTAAAAATTCGATAGCTTTTGATGAGTGCCCTATCGACAAAAATAAAATGGGTTTTAAAGACGAAAAGTGCAGTTTTCATGTAAAATTTTTGCATTTTGCCGTAAATAGCAAAAAAAAACTTAGAAGAACCGTATCTTGCTTAAAATTAGTTCTAGAGTCTTCTACAGTAGACCATTTTAAAGGTAGTTATTTTTCTTTCTATTTAATGTGGCATTGCATATACTGCGCAGAAAAGAGTTATAGAACAATTTTTGTGAAAAAATAGGAAAAACGGCCCAAAAGATGGTATCTGGCGAAGTAAAAATACGTGTGTTTCTGTTTTTTTACTTCGTTTTTTGAATATTATTACGATAAATGTATAATATCCACGGGTTCTCTCTTATACCTGCGATTGGAACTTTCCACATGAGGGTCGAATAAATCGGCGGGTCGGCGGCGTTCCTACCGAAGGTCAAAGAAGCGGGCAGAAGCTTCGAGACAAAGAAAGTAGGTATAAAAACGGACGATTTAAGATTTAAAAGGACAGTCTGAAACAAGTGTCGATTAATAAATTTTTCGCGCGGATATTTAAATTGTAACCGGTATTTGATAAATTATATAAGTGTAAATAAATTAAGTGTTTCTATGGAGATAAAATAAATGTATGTAAATATACTTGTAAAGTGTAGAACATTTGATAATAAATAAAGTTAATAAATTAGATTTATAAAAACAGTTCAATATATTTTTGTCAAAAACAGTGACACGGTTTAGATCTTTTTTTGTGCACTGATGAATATTACTTTTTTTCGGTACAACCACTTATTACGTAATTTTAGAAAAACATTTTAATTACAGCGAAGCGAAGTTTGTGCATGCATGTTTAAAAAAGCGTCAAGAAGAGATGCAAACAAATCGCGAAAAAGATATGCCCAAGGATGAGTTTGATGAGCGAAAAAGGTGCAGAAAGAACGTCGTTTAGCTAAAACTTTTCAGCAAGAGAAAGGACAGGCCATTAATGGTGATGGATTATTACTATATGGTCCAGAAATTACAGAATAATTAATTTTTAAGTAAATTTTTTTTTATTCATTTCGAATAAAAATAAAAAAATACGAGAAAAAACTTTAAACGCGTTTTCCTGAAATCACTTTTTTCGCACGGCCCACAATTAATGTTCGGATTGGCTGGACCGATTTAAATGAATCGAGAAATTTGAATTCCAAAAGTGTACTAGTAACTTAAATTTTTCAATATTTTATTAAATTATTATAATTTGGACTACGACTACCTATCACCTAGTTAAATGTTATCCAGGTAGACTATGGGCCCAAATTAATTATAAACTTAAGATAAATATGAGATATACTCTCTAAGCAGACTACCTAAGAGATGATGCGAAAGTAGTGCATTCGTTTCGGATCAATTATTATTTGTATTAGTAATAAATCACCTACCTTTCCTACAACTTAAGACTTCTTCCTAAAAAATTACAATAGCGATTATTATAAACGACTGTACTCGGAATATAACAAAGGAATGCGATTCTTTAATAATATATCGAAGATAAACAGTTTAAATTTGTAATTGTCAATGAAATGTCTTCCCCAAATTTTTAATATACCTTCTACTTTATAATATATATTTAATTTCCATTCCTATTAAGCATAAAGATTGACGATATCTGACTCTAAATGTACGGTTATAATTGAATTATGTAATATCAGAGGATATCAGAACAATGAACGATTCATCAGAGGCCTGCGACACTCCGCAACACTTCAAAATATCTATCCAAGAAGGCCCAAGAGAATATTCTAAGAAAATACAACGAAATAGTTGTAAAAAGATAGTAAAAGATAGTAGACCTTTATACATTTTCTTTAAACAATTTTTGCTAATTAAATACATCATTAATAAGTTTTTTGGAATTACTAGTTCATTATGAGCATTGTACAGGCTTGGTCTTGCCATGACGTCATATAACCCAGTATACGCCAGCTTCCTATTTATAGGTCACTAAAAATTTAATTTTTTTTCAACCACTAAAATTTGTTAAAATTTAAACAAAAAATTTACCTTGTATATTTTAGGCTGCAGTAAACTGAATTATAAATTTTGTTTGATTATATTACCAACACCCATTCACCTCCCACTGTGAATACCGAGCAACAGGAACCTTGCGGGAAAATAGATTACCGAAGTGTCCTCTAAAAGCATCTAATTTTGATAATATAGAACCTATCGTACAAAGTAGTAGATGGGATTACAAGCTCAAAGGAAAACGTTTAATTTCTCGACCATAAGTATTAAAGAATTATAATAACTACAACGGAGGCATGGATCAACACGACTTATTTGTTGGAAAATATGCCACTAAAATCAGAGCCAAGAAGTGGTATTGGCCAATATTCACACGATTGATTGATATGGCATTTAGTAAATTATGGCAAACGAGTCAATAAGTCAAATATTACTTTATTAGATTCTCGTCGATCTGTAGCACCCTAACTAAAATTGACTCTCAGTACAAAAAGTAAGTAGAAAGACCGAACACATCATCATCAAGTTTTTATGAATATATATATATATATATATATATATATATATATATATATATATATATATATATATAGGACACTTCAGGACTATGTATTTGAAAACTCATTCATACATACTTTCAATTAAGATAACCCTAACGCCCAGGTTCCTGTTTATAGGTTGGGTCATAACCAAAAATGCAAAGATGTAAATGAGTTTCATGAATATTTTTTTATTAAGAACAAGGTTACTCATAATTATGTATAAGTAAAATTTTGAAATTAAAAAAAATAATATGGGCGTTAATGGGTTAAAGTTGACAAACAGGTGGTATAGATCATTGACCCATAGATGGGTCTTTGCCAGTCTGGGTATATCATTTTATTCAGACCTTTTGTGCCTTTCATCTTGTTGTGAGTCTTCTTTGGTCTTCCTATCGGTTTCATCGTACCATGTTCTTTCTTCATCTTCTTCATTTTCTTTCTTGCTTTTATATCTTTTTGTCTTTGAACATGTCCCAGCCATGACAACCACTGTCACAACCACAATATCATGTCATTTATTCAATTCATTAATATCGTAGTTTCTTCTGATTCTACAAGCGCCGTCATACAGTTCTATCGGACTATTTATTTTTCTCATCTTTCTTTTGAATGTCTTCAGTCGTTCTTAATCTTTTTTGTCATTAGCCAGGTCTCACATCGATAGGTTACTAAGGATCTAACTAATGTTATGCAAATTTTCATTTTGGTTCTTTTGTTTAATAATTGCCATGTGATCAATCTTTTATTAGCACGGTACGTACAATTCCCAGAGGCAAGACGTGTATTAATTTCTCTCCTTTCGGAATTCTTTTGATTGATTTCTGTATTTAAATACATCCACACGTTCGATGGTATAGGTGTCTATTGCGATATTATTTTCAATGTCGGTTGTCCTTTTAACTGTCATGTACTGAATTTTGTTTCACTTATTTTAAGCCCCCTTGTTATTGCTTCGGAACCAATTTCCCCGCACACCTCCATTAGTCGTTACTTGTTCCTGTTAACGATGGTACATTATCTGCATATGCAGTAATTTGTATTGATTTGGTATTTATCTGACTTGTTACATTAATTTTTTTGAAAACCGCCATTAGAACTAGGGTGAACAGCATGATTGATAAATGCATGTTATTATTGACCAAAAATATATAAAGGCTTTTGTATAAGACTCATAACCAAAACAGAAACATAGCTTTCAATTGATTTCATTTTGATTAAGCGTTATTTAACAGATTTTACGTTACAGATTTTTTTTTAAATAAACGGTCTTCCAATTTTTGGTATAACTTCTTCCGACACTATTAAAATCTATGTTTTACGCTGCAAACGTGATTCTATTTTCATCTGTTTATACTTGCTAATCTCAATAATTTGACATTTTGTTGACAATAATCCTCGATTTGTTTAACCATTTCCTGACAACTAGATTAACTAGATCAGACATTACCATCGAATATTAAATAAAACAAAGTGGCATAGATTATTTTTTATGTTTTATATTAACATAAAACAAGTGCATTACAAGTACACCTGAAGTAGGTATTAATAAGTCATGAAATACTATTACTACTATTCATTTCATAATTATTATAAAAATATTAATGGATAATATTAAAATCACAAATTAATTTCTAATATGTTAATTCATTACTAATTCTAATTAGTTTCACTAAATAACGTTTAATCGATACTTAACAAATTGGTAATTTACAATTACCGACCTTAAATATTTTTAATATAATTTATTGGTTTTAACAACAAATTTACTAATCACAAAAACAAATAAAAGAGAGGCCAAAAATTTTAGTTAGGTAATGGAAATATCGAAATTAACAGAGACTAAGAAAAGTTACCGCTTACACGATACCGCTGCAAAATCACTACGTTAAAAACGTAGTTAATCAAACTTACATTTTTATATACATTTAAGAATAGGAGAATAACAGGGTGCAAGTCAAAAAGTGACCGCAAATAGTTAAATTAATGGTAATTAATTTTTAAGACAAAATTTTGTGCATTGATTTTTTAAATAAAATACTATCCACATCATAACAATGCACGTAAAGAATTTGAAGTCATTGGTGTCGTTGTCCACTTGCCATTGCAGGTGCCAACTGCTTTGCAGACAGGTGTAGACAGGTAATGATTTGGTGAATTTTCACGGGCATGACGTATATGTACGTTTGTTATATCAAAGGAAATCTACTTTTTTAATTTACCGCTATGATATACCGCTACCTGTGAAAAAATGGACGCAAATTAGGGATTCTAGCTGTAAAAAAGGCAAGGTATCAAAGATAGTGTGAAAGAGAGCTAGCACGTAACGCCACTCGTTTAATAAGGATGCCGAATGCCAGTTGTGCTAATTTGATCTATATGGCTCGCAAGCAACTGTGTAAACAGTAGTAGCAACAATTTTACAAATATTCCAAAATTATAATTAAAAAAGTAATATTTTGAAAAAAAAAAACGATATTAAGATAATAAAACAATTCTGTTACACTAAATTAAATATTCTGTTTATTGATCAAGTTAAAATACAACAAGAATATCTATAAAGAAGAGAATGTCGTCTATTTGTATGACAAAAAATTATACTACGCAGACCATATTCAAAAAAATATTTGTTTTTATTGGAGCTCTTTGATACAATTAGAAATTACAGAGCCATTAAATATTAGTCCAAAAAAGAAACAACAGAGTATTTTAAATAAATAAAAAAAAATTAAAAAACTCAATAAATAACATAACACAATCCACATTACATTTTCTTTAAACGCAAGACATAAAGTTAAGCCTAGTTTCATCGATAAATCTGAACAAATAATACGGATTTCATCATTATCTTTACCTTTTTTGATGTACCTACTATTCGACAACCAGATTTGTAAATTAGGAAATTTGTTCAAATTACCTTGGTAATACGATAACAAGTATATCAGTGTCTGCAGCTCTCACCAAAGTTTTTAATTTTTCCGAGATTTTCCTCACTTGATATATAAATAGTTCTCGTGTATATTTCTTTATTTTTAACAACCAGATTTCCAACATAACAATATGAAAAACATTGTTCTGAAACATTTTTATTCCCTAATATTGAAGCATAAGAATTGTCACACACATATTTAGATAGAAATTTGGTCAGAGCCTCTTGCTTGTTCTTATTGCGCCGTCTCCTTTCAATGGTGAGCGATTAAAATGAAAAGTCCATTTTAATGAATGTTTTATCTTCACCGCTACTTCTTAATACTTTTTTTAACACATTTAAAACCATAGTTATATATTTTATTCCATTTAATTGGCCTCACAAACCTTTTATAACCTTGAAGCATTCTGGAATAATAATGGAATTTTTGTTCTTGACCTCATGGTTTTATATTGCGTAAACAATTTGTGACAATTAACGATGACGGTTTATCAGTTGAAATATTAAACGAGCTCTGCATCAACGACTTTGGAGAACGGATTCACAGTTTTTCTAATAACTTCAATTATGCTGTTCAAAGTTAAGTATCATCTAACTGCGATAACCCGATTTCTTTCTTAACAAATGACAACATTCTAGTACTCATTCTATGACTGAGAGCCCATCGCTGTCTTGCAGATATTGAATTCGTAAAATGACTAACACCGCCAACACCGGTTAAGATATTATTAGCATCAGCATTTATTGTATGCTCTAACATTATTCCACTGGTAAGAAGTAAAGTTTGTGTAACAGTCTGGCTAAGATCTATTCCACTGTTGATCTGCCTAGACATAAATTTGTGCGTTTAACTCAAATAAATCTCATTTCAAATGAATTCTCAATATTTAGCAATTATTTAGATACATGTCTCTCTTTCACTTTATATTTGACATCTCGCGTTTTTAGAAGCTAGTACTAATTTGTGTAAA